CCTGTGAACCAACAAGGGTTTGCCAGAATCATTATCAGTGTTAACAAGCTGAGCTATAAACTATGATCCATGATTAAATGAGGTCTCCTTCAACTTTTCATTGTAAATGAGAACCTGGGATGTGTTAAGCTTATGCATTCTGCAGACAATAGAATATTTACACACTTTAATTCTACTAAAGCTTAATAAAAGGGATTTCTATATTTCACTTCTAATGGAGGATACCAAAGAAAAAACAGTCCTGTGCAGAAATGAAGGGGAAGGGAAAGGAAAAGGAAAAGAAAAAAGATTGAATCACTCCATTATTAACCAGGAGGTTGAAGCAAATTAAAAATGGCAGCACTACAAAAGCCCAAATAACAACCCTGACTCTAGGTCATAAGATGCTTTTTGATGTTGTCAACCCAAACATGAAAGAAACAGAAACTAAGCATACACTAAATATGCACTTAAAATGAGTGATCAATAAGAAAAACATTTTATTCTTCAGACTGGCAGAATTTTCACAAGCTTCATAGACTTCCCACCAGATTCATTAAGAACCAATCTAGTATATTAAAAACTTCAACCTGGTCTTGGGAGATCTGAGTCCAAGCTACCACAAACACGGACTCACAAATTTGGGCCAACCACTCTCTTTCAGCCCAGCTTATCTGACAGGATTGCTGCGTAAATAAAATTAGGGAAGTTCTTATATATTCTGTCCTAAATCTCAAGAAAAAAAAAGGGGGGGGGGGGGGGGAAGGAAGACATCTCTCCTTTGAATGAAACACCAGCATTGCAGTTTAGAGTACTCCCATTTACTGATCTAACCAATCAGAAAAAAATTTTTCTGCAAGTCTGTAACATTCTCCTTCCCCCTTGCCTCCATCAAAACATAAATTAAAAGAGAGTTGAGTTGATGGCCTTCAATTATCTTTTAATTTAGTTGTTTTTAGTGTATATTTTCTGAAGATTTTACCAGACCAGGTAGTATCATCTTCTTGCGTATGGACAATACCATTTTGACTAAATAAGAATTGGAACTCAAGTCCAAGGTTTCAGAAACCAGATGTACTATTTCGCTCTTAATAGCGGAAACTTCATGCTAAAACTAAAAAGTACAGGAGATTATTATGACAGTCACGCTCAGCTGGTAAGATTCCAGAAATTTTGGATTTCATCTAGCAGGGCAACTCTTAGATTTTTAATGCTCAATCTAACATAAAATAAGATTGAATGGGGAAAAAATAAAAATTGCATCGGCAGAGATTAAAAACATATAAAGAGCTCTAGTGAATCAGCTCACAGCCTACATAATCTGGAAAATGAAAAGACCTGTAAGTTTCTTCATAAATTCTATGTCACCATTACATTCATCTCACAGCTCTCAGGTCAAAAAGAACATAGAAATGGCATATACTGCTTTTGTTTCTATGACACAGATATCCCAGCTGCATTTTACTGACATTCAAATGTATAAAAAGACATCACCGTGACCACTTTCCATTTATCTGTCATCAATTCTAACACAATGTTTAAAGAAAAGATTAGAAAATTTCAGAACAGGGAACTATAGTTTGCAGCCTAAGGCACACGACTCCTACCAGTTGGTAAGAGAAGGGCTGAAATATGAATGAGCAAGCCATTTGTCAAGGAAATTATGCAAGGGCACTCAGCCACTGTACAGAACAGCAAGCAACTTAAGACTCAAAGCCAAGACAAAATAATCCAAGGCATTCAACCCATCTGGTTTTCTGAACAGTATTCCTGAACTATTCCGAGTCTGAAAGAAAGAAATGGAAGAGGTGTCCCCCTTCCACAAATGGATGAATTTAAAGTAATACCTTTGTGGTTATTACTGATATTTGGGTACAGGGAGGTGCAACACGAGCATGGTTGGTCTTGGGGTGGCTGCTGCCAGGTGGGAGAGGGTGTGTAAGTAGCCAGGGAGGGTGGGTGAGTGGCCAGGGAGGCATGGCGCAAGTGGAGAGGTGCTTGGACAAGGTGCACAGGTGAGGGACATTTACCTGAGCAACTTGTGACCTTCCCTGACAGCTGCCCCGCTGACTTTATTTGTGGGAAGTTGGTAGGGAAGGTCACAAATCATGATCACATGACTGCGGGACACTGCAACAGTTGTAATTGCAAGCCGGCTGCCAAGTGCCCAGACTGTGGGGCTGTTGGGACAGCCAGAACTTCAAGGATGGGTTGTAATCACAACTCATTCAGAACCATCGTAACTTCGGTCACTGAACAAGTGGACATTAACCAAGGACTACCTCGACATATTTTTCAGTGAATCAATCACTGACAAAACATGTATCTTCATACCAATGAAAAGGAACTAAAAGGCAAAAGGAACAAGACCTAAATCAAAGAAGTGATAGCATTTCCTATACTTTCTATATAATTATACCACTGTCAGAAATTAAAGTATTTAAAATGTCATTCAGAACCAATCTAAACATTTTGGCAAATTCAGATGATACTAATTTAGAGAAAGGATTGTGGCTTTGGGGTTTTCATTTGGGGTGGGAAATTTTTAATGTACCCTCACACTAAAAAAACTTGCATATAAAACTAGGCATATTGGGCTAATGTTGTCTATAATGAACTAGCTTACTTTATGTGGGGACATTAAAAATAAGGATCCTTATGGTAGGAGGTTAAATGAAACTGTAGGAATAGTCCCAGAATGATATAATTCACATCTAAACATAAACATATAGTACTTTCAAAATGGTCCATGTTTCAAGGCGTACTTTTTTGGCTTCTTAGTTTGCTCTATCCCAAAAGGTTCATTGTTGTATTGGTTCAAAATAATAATGAAATAAAAATATCAGCAATCATCACCATGCGTTGATATCATAATAATCATTTGTGGCTTACAAAACTATAGTAACTCCTTAAAAATCAGACAGAAAAATACCATCTTTTGCATCTTTATTATCTAGTTTGATCAACAGCAGTTGCAGGTGAAAACACAATCTGCAAGATTTTGTGAAGATTTGATAATCGAAATGCCTATAGACATAATATACAGTAGGGTGATATTTCATACTGCTATTGGTGTGCATATTGGGTCTCTGAATCTATTCTTTCTCCCCTCTTGTTCACATACACAGGGAAAAGCAATCTGACAAGCAGACCTCATATCAATAGAAGCGAATATGTGTAGCTCAGGGTTAAACTGTGGAGTCCCGGGGGTTCTCTGAGCTTGGCTGTTTCCTTGCAAATGTTTTGTTACCCAGCTAGGTAACATCTTCAGTGGAATGGGGTTTGCTCTCTGTTTATATACTGTGGCATGCCCTGCCG